GCGTGTGTGTGTGTTTTCTGAGGTTTTCGCAGGTATTTGTATGTGGATCTTTGGTTATTCGAGTTTTCTCCCGCGTAAAATTGGAAATATCTAAGCAACATGTCTTGCCCTGTACAGGTAGTCCTCAATTGGGACCAGAATTCCTGTTTCTAAGCAAGACAGTCGTTCAATGAGTTTCACCCAATTTTATGACCTTTCTTTGTCAAAGATGTTAATGCTGATCATATGATCATGGGGATGCTGCAACAGTCATAAGCAAGAAGACTGTTGTAATTCAATATTTTCAGTGCCTTTGCAACTTTTAATGGTGGCTAGATGAAGGATTGTACATGCAGAGGCAACTTTACCATCTGGTTTTCCAACAAAAATTTCTCTAGCTACATCTAGAGGTGATGAATTCTCTCTCCACAAGAAACGAACACGCTTGTCCTCCCTTCAAAATTAACCAGACCAGGAAGCTGACTTCAGAAGCAGACTAGAACTCCGTTTTACTGAGATAAGATGGATGAACAGGTCTTGACAAGATTGGTTGTGATTTTCCTCTCCTCTGTCCTTTACCCCCGTGAGTCAGGGAGAAGATAGTCTGAGTCGCTTTCTAACACTAGCATCTTTTCTGGGGCTTCTGCTTTTTTTTCATTTCTGTCATGGTTTCTCAATATTTCCCTCCACTCCGGGGACTCTATGATGCCACAACTGCACTAGCATTATACAAATGTGCTTGGATTTAATGGGTTTCACTTATTCCTCATGAATTAAGCATCAAGCCAAAGAGGACTAACCTGTTTCTCTCCTGGAGTCTGCTGATTTCGTGGGTCTGCAGAAGCAGCTGTTTCTCAAGCTTGTTGGTAGACAGGGAATTTTCCAAAACTTGAATTTCCAGGCGGGATGTTTGGTTGAGAACCTGGTTGTTAGAAAACGTGGTTACGCCGTTGAGCAGAAACAGCAGGGAAAATCTCCTAAATCTTTTCTTGACCCTTATGATCACACTCAATCTTCAGGTGGTTTGACCTCAGTTTATTGTGTGATTTGTAAAACATGACTGATGGCTTAAAATACAACAGGAACTGAAGTAATTCTGATACAAACCAAGAATCTCACTGGTTGAGCACTTCTTCCAAAGTTCCCTCAGATATTTATGATAGGCCACCAGCAATCAAGCTAATTCTAATCCTAAATTGCATTAACAGAGGGATGCAGTCAAGATCACGTGAGGTACTAATATCACTTAGCCTTAATAAGACCACACCTAGAGGACTGTATCCAGTTTTGGTCATCACACTGTAAAAAAGATGCTGAGACTCTAGAAGAGTGCAAAGAGCAACCAAGATTATTAGGGGACTGGAGGCTAAAACATATGATGAATGGTTACAAGAACTAGGCATGGCTAGTCTCGTGAAGAGAAGGACCAGGGGAGAAAGGATAGCAATGTTCCAGTATTTGAGGGGCTGCCACAGGGAGGAAGAAGGGGTCAAGCTATTTTCCAAGGCACCTGAAGGCCAGACAAGGAACAGTGGATGGAAACTGATCAAGAAGATATTCACCCTGGAAATAAGGAGACATTTCCTGACAGTGACAGCAATCAACCAATGGAACAGAAGTTGCCTTCAAAAGTTGTGGGAGCTTCATCATTGGAAGCTTTCAAGAAGAGACTGGACCACCATCTGTCAGAAATGGTGCATGGTCTCCTGCTTGGGCAGGAGGTTGGACTAGATGACCTACAAGGTCCCTTCTAACTCTGTTATTCTGTAATCTGTTACCTGACTGCCCTAGTCTGTCTAGCTGGGCAAGATTTTACAAGAAATCCACAGAGTGTGACTATTCATTTAGCAACCATTTGAAGTTATGCTGGACCTGAAAAATGATACTTGTGACCCGGGTTCAAATTCTGATGGCTGTTTGCAACATCCTTCTGTCACATTACCATGTTTTACAATTTTTATTTTTGTGCTAAAACAAATATTTACTTCCAGTTTCCACCAAAAAATATCCATTTTGGATATCAGTTTACTTAATGACATTGATGTTTGCTTAATGACCCCAGCAAAGAAGGTTGTAAAATTGGGTCCAGACATGTGATCACTCACTTAACAACCAGTATAATGTTCAATCATAATTGAGGGATCATTTACAGTCGTCAGTTGAGAACTATAAGTTGAAATACCTGTAGCTTTTCTTCGTTCAGTTCAGGTTCAGGAAAAAACAAAGCAAGAAGTTACTGCCCAAACTACAGAAGCACAGAACTTAACAAACCTGGCCATGATCCCGAAACACAAGGGATAGCTGTGGAATTCTGCATAGTGTTTAATAAGAAATTCTTTTTATATAAGTCAATGAAGTCAAATTGCTATATTTATAATGTTTACTGCGATAAGGAAAATAGAGGGAAAAGGATGAAAGGCAACAATCACACACTACAGAATTAGAAATTGAATTAATATAGCTAACCCTAGCTAAGTTGGTGAAGCTTTTGGATTTCAGCACAGATTCAGGATTCATTGCAGAAGGGATAATTGCAAAAAAAAAACCTCTTCGGGGCTTCCTGCTCTGAAGATGTTAGGCAGGCCCTTCTTATTCATCTTCTTTTCTTCTTGCATAGTAGCCTGAGTTATCGTATATAAAAAAAGTAGAGAATAACGGAAATCTTGTCTCTTGGGAAGGACTTACTACTTCTATTGCTTTGCTGAATCAAGAAAAAATGATATGATATATCAGAATCCCCTTTTCCTAAGAATATTGTATAGAATGTTAAACATAGTGTTTTGTTTTTTTTAACAATCGTGCCACTCTAACAAAGGATCTAAATGAAAAATATTTTTTGGAAGTTGCAACTGATTTCAATTCATCCAGGACTCAGCAGGGAGTCGGTTTACTAGAACATATCAATAAATTATTGTTGTGCCAAACTAGAAACTAAAGGGTTGCATATTGAGAAACTGCCAGCCTATGTTCTTGTGGGCTTATTAAACCACTAAATCGACATGACTTGGAACTACAGTATTTCAATATCCATGTCATTCCTTGCAAGTTCATAGCCAGTTCCTCACCTTTCCCGGGTACTATCCACACCTATGCTATTGCATCCATGTTCTATCCACACCTATGCTATTGCATTTGCTTCTTGGGAATTTGTAATTTTGTTTGCAACTGTATCTTCACCTTGGGTGTCTTCCACGTTCCTTCTTTGGTCAGTAAGGCAAGCACTGATTTGTAGGTTCGCACCTGTTTTAAACTTTGTGTATTTTTTGAACAAGCCATGGCACAGCTTTGTGGAAAATGAACAGCTGACATGATTGGTTTAGGATAGCTACATTCCTTGAATATGACTGTTCAAACCCTTCTACTTTTGCAGAAGCTACTCATGTTCTTCTGGATTACCACAACTGACCAGACAGCATTTGGGCTGTTGCATTGGGGCCCAACTGAAGCTTCCAAATTGTCATCAGTGGCACGCCAACATAGAGCATGTGGCTTTTGACTTTGGTTCTTTTTTGGTGGTTTAATATGCCACAGGAACCTTGGCTATTTGTTCAGTTGTTCCAGAAACGCATGAATTCAGGGACTAAGTCAAGTTTGTGGTAGAAAATCCAGCCATGATCCATCATATTAAACCCCAGTTTTGTTTTGGCATAGCATCTGCGAAGGCAGCCGCTGTGGTTTGGAGATCATCTTCCCTTCTGGCTATCATCTCAACTTTGATGTATATTCAGTAAACATAATGGTGGGGCCATTATGGCTGAAATAGGCAAACCACCCCCTGTAAATTGGCAAGAAATAACCTTGCTCTAAAAAAAATAATAATCACCAGAGATAAAATCCAGGAAAAGGCTACCAAAAGATGTTCAGCTTACCTGTATCTCTACATCGGTGAGCTTCCGGGTTTGCTCAGCAGTTTGGTTAAGGAGGTTGGTCCCAATTTCCAATATGGCTGCCGTGTGGTCCTGTACAGAACTTAAATGGATCTCTGACATCTCCATCCTCACATTGTCCTGGATGTAACTCTCCAGCTGAAAGAACGTAAGCAATGGGGATTAAATTTGAGGGGTTGTCACAGAGAAGAGGGGGTCACCCTATTCTCCAAAGCACCCAAGGACAGCAGAAAAGTAATGGGTGGAAGCTTACCAGACAGAGATCCAGTCTAGAATTAAGGAGAAATTTCCCATCAGTGAGAACAATTAATCAGTGGAATAGCTTTTGCCTTCAGAAGTTGTGGATGCTTCATCACTGGAAGTTTTAGGAACAGATTGGATAGTCATTTTTCTGAATGGTATCTCCTACTTAGGGCAGGGGGTTGGACTTGAAGACCTCCAAGGTCCCTTCCAACTCTGTTAGTCTGTATTCATAGTTTCTATTTGTATTTTGCATTCTAAGTAGGGCTAACTAGACTGCAAAGCATCTGCACACACCTTCGTAGATATGTACATTGCACAGTAACTTTATTTTGGCTTGATTCTTGCATCACCAACATCTTCTGATTGCAAAGTTTAACTAAACAGGAGCTTAAGGACTCTACATTTTGCCAGGAGGCTTTGCTGAACTTTATCTTCGCTATTTGGCAAATCCCTAGCACTTCTTCTCGCTTCTCTTTTTTAGGTGACTTGGCCAAGACATGAAGAAACAATTTCAAGCAATCCTTGACTTATATCATTCATTTAGGAACCATTTAAAATTACAACAACACTGGAAAAAAAATGACTTACAATTGGTTCTTCTCCTTATGACCATTGCAACATCCCCACAGCCATGATTGTGGTTGTGGGTTGTGATTGTGGGTTGAGAACTACCTGTACTTGCAAGATTGCCTTTATCTTGTTTCAGAAAACATGGTCATCTGTAGGATCCAGGTGGGATAGCCCTTCTCTGTTGTAGATCCTACCTTATGGAACATCATTATTATCAAATTGTGGATAGCCCTGATCTTTCCACCTTCCACCTAGCCTTGAAGACCCAGCAGTTTTCTATAGCAGAGTTTCTCTTCTTGGCAACATTAAGATGGGTGGACTTCAACTCCCAGAATTCCTCCAGCTAACATCTCTGGTGGATTGAGCCAGACCATGGGATGAGCCCCTGTAGAATAGAAGACCCTGAATAAGATGTGCTTGGGTTGGTCTTGGTTGCCTTTGTTAATCAGACAGAGAGTCAGTTTGGCCTAGTGGCTAAGGCCAGAAAGTGGGAGGCTGTGAATTCTAGTTCTGCCTTAGCCATGAAAACCAGCTTCATGACTTTAGACAGTCACTCTCTCTCAGACTAACCCACCTCACAGGGTTGCTGTTGTTAAAAAATAAGAGGAGGAAGGTAAGTTGGATACGTTTGCTGCCTTGAATTATTTGTAAGACTAATAAAGTCAGTACACAACTAACTCAATAAAAATATATAGTTACTTCTGTCAAAATATTTTGTACTATTCATAACTATCCTGATATTGAAATAAAGGGCCACTATATGCAGTGTTGCAGGCTAACTCTGCCCACTGCCAGGAGTTTGAACCTGACCAGTTCAAAGTTGACTCAGCCTTCCATCCTTCCAAGGTCAGTAAAATGAGGACCCAGATTGTTGGGGGCAAGAGGCTGACTCCATAAACCACTTATACTGTACCACTTTTTTACTGGACCACTGTTATACCACTTTGGCTGTAAAGCACTAGGAAGTAGTATATACTCTAAGTTCTATTGCTGTGGTCAACTTAGCTTTGGACATTTTGAATATTTGAATATCAATTATCTAATGCTGGTTAATGGCACGTTATGTAGCAATTTACTGAAACCTCTGCCTTTCCCTTCTCCTTCTTCTTCTGCTCTCGAGTGTGATTTATTTCCCAATGCCATTTCATACCTGGAAATCCAAGCCTTTGAAATCTGTTAGCAAGCTGAAGAAACAGCTGCTTCTACAAACTCCTGAAATCAGCACATTTCAGGGGGGGAAAACAGATTTGTTCTGTCTGGCTTCATGCTTGAATTGAAATGAATAAATTACTCCAGTTAATCCAAGCATATTTTTGTAACCCCATTGCAGTGGTAACATGTGGGGGTCTTTTGAAGAGATAAACCAGACCTGTGAAATTCTTCCCTAGAAACCCCCCCCCCCCATCAGCGGAGGGGCTTATATGGATTGAAACAAAGCAAGGAAAATTAGCAAAGAGACATGAAAGCAGGGGTAGGATTCAAAAATCCCAGCAACCGATTCGCTGCCCAGTTGCTGTGTGGGAGTGGCCATGGTGGGTGTGGCCTACTAGAACTTCCTGGAGGGCTGTTTTTCGCTTTCCCAAGGGTCCGGAGGTTGACCTCGGGACTCTGGGAGGGCAAAAACATCCTCCCCCGGGCTCTGGAGGCCCTCTGGAAGCCGGAAACAGGCCCGTTCCGTGACTTCCAGTATTTCCGGAAGGCCCTTACCTGCATCGAAAATGGGCCGCGTGGAGACTTCTGGGAGGGGAGGGGTGTGGTGGGCGGGGCGGGGCCAACCGGTTGGTCCAAATACCAGTTTGGCAAAACAGATGCAAATTTAACATCTGGTTCGCCCGACCTGGTCCGAACCAGTAGAATCCCACCCCTGCTTGAAGGTAACACTGTAGGCCAGAGGTCTCCAATCTCGGCAACTTTAAGACTTGCGGACTTCAACTCCCAGAGTTCCTCAGCCAGCTTTGAAACTCTGGGAGTTGGTCCACAAGTCTTAAAGTTGCCAAGGTTGGAGACCCCTGCTGTAGGCCATACCCCAAACTAGGGATTTTTCCACCAAGGATAAAGAGATAATAGTTTGCTCCGCTGTTTCACTGAATTTGATTCTCAATGTCTATGGAGATTCTCAATCACCCAGGTCATGGTTGTCCCAAAGATGTCTTTTTTTTTCCCAAAAGGCAACCTTACCTTCTTGTTTTTTTCTTCAAAATATTTCACTTCTCATCTCAGAAGCTTCTTTAGTTCTGTAGAAGCATCTTGGATGAGAAGCAAAATTTTGGGGAAGGAAAAAAACCAAGAAATGTCAGTTGCCTTCTAGAAAAAAAAAAAAATCTTTGGGATGGTTGGATTCTTATGTATACACTTCTTCCATTGGATTGTTTCTTGCATAGAGATGACACTAAATTTAAAGTAAACAGTTTGATATTGGGGTATTCCAATGCAATGTTTCACTGTATCAGTCAGTAGCTACTATCATCGCTCGTAAATTCATCCTAGGTTTAGAATATTAAAGGTTTTGCACGTTCAAACTATGCAGCTTTTCCAAGTCAAGCTTTTATTTAACAATATCAGTCCCTTTACTTGCAACCCATGATAGTTTGCCTGGTTTTGTCTCCCCCCACCCCGGATTTCCTCATGTGGGCACCACACCGACCCATTGATCATCTCGGCATCCTGTTCTCTGTTTTTCCTCCTCTCCAAAGGGGGTCTGGTAGAAGTGATGTCCGGTGAAGAACAACCAATAGCACACGTCTGGACACAGTTACGAGTACAAGGTCAAGCTCACCCCAAGGCACTTTTCTCCTCATTCACCTATTGGTCAACAGCCTTAGTTACATTCACAAGCTCCCTTCCTCTTATCAGTATTGAGAAAAATGGTTTACTTGGTTGTTTGATTTGGTTAGGTAATGGTGGCCTGTGTGTCTTATGCTAGATTATAATGATTCATTTTGGTTGCTTTGTAACCTGCGTTACAGGTAGTCGTTAACATGCAACCACAATTAGGACCACAATCTCCATTGCTAAACAAGGTGGTTGTTAAGGGAGGTGTGCCCAATTTTATGACCTTTTTTTTGCCACATTTGGGAACTGAATCATGTGGTCATTAAGTGAATCTGGCTTCCCCTATTGACTTTGCTTGTTAGAAGTCAGCTGGAAAGGTCACAAATGGTGATCACGTGACCCTGGGATGCTGCAACTGTCATAAGTACCTGCCAGTTGTCAAGCGCCTGAACTTTGATCACGTGACTTTAGGGATGCTGCAGCAGTGCAAGGATCGGTCGTAAGTTGCTTTTTTTCAGTGCTGTTGTAGGTTTGAATGGTCACTAAATGAACAGTTGTAAGTCTGTTCATTTACCTGCATTGACCATGGATGTTTTACTGATAACTAACCTGTTTTGTTGTTTTAAGTTATACTGAGGATGGCTGAGTTTTATGTTAAGCCGCAGAAGCTTCAGAAAACCGCTTATGAGTCTCTTTGAATTTGAAAGCATACAAATCCCATAACTATATAATCTTTCCGGTTCAAATCCAAATGTTGGAGAGGAGTGACAGAAATCTTGACTATCTCATTTCGTATCATTCATTTGCTGACTCGGCCAGTTCTGTCCCAGATGAATTAACCTTTGCCCTCTGGACAAAAGAACTGAGGCTGGGTTGGATAAAGACGGTTGGCATGACCATTTCTTTCTCATTTTATCATCTTAAACATGATAATTTGGAGACAACGGTGGGAGGCCTCCAAGACTATGTCTGTCCCTCCCTTCCTGCCCTCTGGTCCCAGGCAGTTTCCGGACAAGCCGAGTCTAGTTTGGAAATCTGGGAGTGAACTTGTGCCAGTATAGCTGGAAGCTGTTGGGTTGGGCATGGACATCCCTTAGCGGGGGGGGGGGGGACAACCCCTCTCTCTTTATGCCTCCCATAGACATCTTTGGCAATTTGAATCTCACTGGCTCAAAGTTGACTCAGCTTGCCATCCTTCCGAGGTGGGTAAACTAAGGACCCAGATTGTTGGGGGCAAGAGGCTGACTCTGTAAACTGCTTAGAATGGGCTGTAAAGCCTTATGAAGCAGTATATAAGTCTAAATGCTATGGCTATTCTGTGGTGTCCCGTTTTTTACAGACAGCAGAAAAGAGAATCCCATCTTCTCGGCAGTTCTGTGTTTTGCCTCTGGTTCTATTTCTTGCAGACCCTTGAAAGCCTCTAGTCAAAATGTGACTTTTCTAGACAGCATTTTGGGTCAGCTGATAACCCACGGATGGCTTTCCTTTCAGCTTGAGTAAGTGTCGTTACCACATTTGAGTTGTGTTTTTGATCAAGGTCTGTTTTGAAAATT